TGGGTCGCCTTCCTTTTTCATGCTCTACCTTCTATTTACAGGATTTATTTACAGTGTATTTTCTCAAACTGAATAAAAAATGAAAATTTCACACTATAGTTCTACTGCACTTTTGCTGCACTGAACTGCAGTTCTACTGTGGTCAGACTGCACCTAGAATCCTTATTGTCCTCCCTTGCCTAAGCTATTTTAATGGTTAATTAGAACTTGGCTGTGCTGCATTTGTTGCAGTTACCTATTTCAAATTCCATATATATACCATTAAAAGTGCTATGAGTTGGTGATTCTGAATTTAAACTTCGCATTACTATGCGTACGGCTGTGCTGAGACCTTCAGCTGATTTATTCCATTTTTATTTAGTGACATTTAGTTAAAATGAGACTGAAATGGTAAATGAGTGAATTATTCAGGTTTAAAACTGAAAGAAAAAGTTGCTAGTAGTCAAGAATTACTCAAACGAATGTGTTATAGCTCTCCACTTCATTAGAATATTGTTCCCTAAAATTCCTGCCATGGTCCGTCGTAGTTTAGTGGTTTTTGTGAATTTCGTTCATATTCCCTGATTCCCCTTTGTATTATCACATCCTAATCCTCCATATGTATTGTTCATTGTTATAGTAGGTCGTCCTCGAAGATATCATATTTTTATGTATTTTATTTAGGGCTCTGGACCTCTTGAAGCTGTCTTCCCACGCATTTTCAGGTTTCTAACTTCATGTCCTTGTATCTCATTCATTTCTGGATGGTTTCTCACGTTCTTGGTATCATAAATTTTCATTTATTCCCACCTTTCCAATGGTACTAACGTTGTGTTCTATTTCCTGGTATTCGTTGAGTTAGCAAAAGTTCGCATGCACATTCGGTAATCATGTGCGTCGTTCCCATAGTCGTTCGTATGTGGGTGCTGTTTCTGTTTAATTGTTCGGGATTTATGATATGCATGGGTGTTTATATTTTTCATATGGGCTTCTGTGATTTATTTCAGATTTTTCCCTCATGATCTAAGGTTGTTTTGTGTCAGGGGATGGAGCCCGGGTCCCCACCCCTCTCTCTATAGCCCACAGCCCTGTGTGTAAACAGCCTATCCTAAGGCATAACCTAGTGTGGGTAAGAAAGTGTAATAGATAGAAAGGCAAGTAAGGTACACTTGCCTACTGTGGGTAAGAAAGTGAGAAGAAGGTTAACTTCTCACTTTCCCACAGTGGCCCAATATGGCGAAAACTTCAATACCCGGAAGTCACATGAAGAGTGGGAACCGGGCCCGGAGCATGTGGCACATGGAGCATGCGGGGCAGAGCGCACAAGTGGGTGCAGGTGCGGGTCCGGGCTAGTCAGGGTGTGTGCCCTGACATTTTGCACTTTCCATGCTTTGTTTTGACCGGGCTCTTCCTTATTTGGATGGAAATTGGCCTTCGCGATCTGCCGAAGTGCAGATCTCAGTTCCGACGGCTGGTTCCCTTCGCATTGCCACCCTCATGTGTCATTAAACATGATGCAGATTTCTATATTCCCATCATGGGTATAACTTCACAACGGCTGGATCGTTTGGGCTGAAAGTTTGCATAACTATAGCTCCCCATTTTTCATAATTTCCGTGTAAATTTCGTTGTATGTTTCAATTATGGATCCTATGCAAACATTGTCTTTTCCCTGAGCTCGGACTTTTGATGTCGCTATTCCCGTTATTGGATATCTCATTAATGCATGATCCTTTTATTATGAAAATTTGGGAGGATTAAGATTAGATCCCTTCCTTTCTAATGGGCTATCAAGCTTGTCTCGGTCGTTACTGGTTAATCTTCGCGCTTGCCTTTTAGACGTTGTCCTTGTTTTGCAGGAGTTTTAGTCATATCTCTGTGGTTTATGGGTAGTTTCCCCTGTAATTACTTTCATTGGGTCCGTTTGGGGGACATCTACATTTCCTATTATAGACACGACTTTGAATTTTGCATTAGTTCCTGAGGAATCCTTGTTCTGTGGTACTTCCATCCTTGGCTACATGTGTGGATGTGGGAAAGTAGCTTCCGTGGAGGTTCTCTGATTTCTTTTATAGTCAAATCTTGGTTGATTGTCCTAATTCTTTGTTTAATATTTGCTATAAATTCCCCTGAGAATTCCGTCTCGTTGATGCTAAGCTTGAAATATTTTTGCTAATTTTCTTTTGATTTATCGCATATAGTCATAATAATTCGTAAAAATTCGTAAAAATTCATTAAAATTCAGGCCCTTCTATTTTCTCATATCTACTTGTCGTATGAGGTTTTGTGATTTATCTGGCATATTTCCATAATGGGTTTCCATAGTGTGACCGTTATTTCTCCTACACCACCCTTGCTGTAACTATATATACTTAACTTGTACATAGGTTACACCTCAGTGATAAAATCGACTAGAGTTGACCCCCTTTAGTTCTCGTTGCCAGTAAGTAAATTAGGGCATGGACGTGTAACTTGGCACAGCGCTCCTGGCATAAGTTGCTGAGGCTGAAGCCCTCCACCATGGAGACATTCCTTTGTCTCAATCTGGTCTCTAACACCATGCAATTCCTTGTGGACCAATTATGTAGGATAGATATTCCTACCTTGCCTCCTCCTGTAAATTATCAGGCAGCCAAAAATTGACATGAATTTCTTATGCTCAATTAGTCATGCCCCTGTCCAGCTATGAGTTTATTCTTGCACACTGTCCATAGGCTTGAATGTGGCATATTTGGGGCTGACTTCAACAGAGATAGGATCACACCACCTAGGCTGCTGTCTTCCAGCCAAAAATCAACCACTCTCTTGCCAGGTAAGCAAGCCAAAGTTTTCTGCCATCAACGTCCCCCAAGTGGGACAACTAGGGTTCACTGAATTGATATTCTCACCATAATGTACAATGCACATATTAATTATTTCTTTTACAAATAACAGGCTCACAGAATTGGGATTGTTGAATACTGTTCATACAATATTTCCCTCAAATTTACGCACCCAGTCCTTGTGATCACTCTTACACATACACAACGAGGTTCACTGAAAAAATTTTTCATTCCATTTCTTTTTCTTCTCAAACTCATGTTGACTTTTGTTTCGATTGTATTTAGGGAGTGTTGAATATTAATATTGTACATGAGAAAAAAAAGACTGGGACCACTGGCAGAAATGACGATGTTGGGAGGAGCTTGCAAAAATGAGGGTGTTGGAAGCGAGGTGTGCCAGGATGGGCAGGTGGCAAGAGCCACCAAAGGTGCATGGAGCCAAAATGATGGGATGGAGGCTGGTGTGTGGAGTGAGAAAAGAGGCGAAATGAATGCTGCTGACATGTGGCGATTTCATCACAACTATATTGGCTGGTGGAAGTGACAATGAAGGGGGAATTGGGTGGGCTGTGTCGAAGTGAGCAGAGAGGTGAGCGATGAATGCTGCCGATATTGAGAAATTTCACCACACATGAGTCAAGTCTGGATGAGTAGACATCAGAACATCAGAACATTGGCAGAGGTGATAAGGTAAGAAGAGGGTCAAATGCACCAGCTTGGGATCCATGTATGGGGAGAGGGGGGGGGGAAAAGCACTTGCCCGCAATGGGGGTGGCTTTTGTCTTGGCCTGAAGTATGGTCGAAATCCATGTCTATGCTGGCAGGACATGAGGCAGCTCGCTGAGATGTGTGACGCTGGCCTGTGGGCGTCGAGCATGGTGTGTTGGACCACTCACAAAAACTGCCAAACTGCAACTGCCTCCATCGATGTTGAGGCCTGAACCGATGAGCCATGCCTGAAGTCGATGCACCAGCACTGTCAAGCACGATGTCTGACTGAGGCACGAACAGGGTGTCCACTTGCTGTCAGCTGTCAAAGCCCAGCATGGGAATCGCACATGCCATTGGTATGTTTTCATTTTCGTGTTTTCCTTTCTTTCTTTTTTTTGTGCTCAAGTCCAGTGGCCCATGACTGTTTCTGGACAGCCATGGATGGAAAGCGATTTAGCATTCAACAGGTTCAATCATGCCAGATGTGCATACTTATATCGAATTGCTACATTGTGCCAAGGAATAGTTCTGAAACAAATGGCTTTGGCTAGAGTAAGCCTCCACCAACGGTGGTAAGGTTTGGGTGCTGTTGGCTTGAGTAAAATCCCAAAGAATAAAAGAAAAATGAAGTAAAAATCAAAAACTTCGTCATATCACGCCCATCACTGCGTCAAAACTTCGTCCCTTCATACCATCCGACTCTCCTCAACTGTAGCTTTCGAACGATACCAATTTTGTGGAATTTGGTGTAGAATTGGCTAAGAATGGGAATTCGGTGGCATTGGATCCACAATACAATTGTCCATGCACAGGGAAACTTGGACTAAATTATTTCCTAAAATTCCGAAAGTTCCTTGACAATATCCCTTGCATTGCTCGCATATTCCTAGCTTGAATTCCTCTGGAACCTCACTGAGGTTGACCCAAATGTGCTGATGTTCTCGTGTAGTCCCATGACACGCATCAAGTCCAGGAGTCAGATAATTCCCTTGGTTTCTCCACAACTACTCTTCCGTTCTGAATGAGATTCTGCGCTGGGTCTATGGGTATTATTCCACAATTAATGACCCCTAGATCATCCTCTGCCATCGACTTTTGACCTTTTCCAATTGAGTTTCAAGTGCACGGATTAAATGTAAGAGGATTCCTCTGCATGATTTCTCCACCAATTCTCAACTGATTCCTTCGGGGATGCGTTCATTCGGTTCGTATGGAAGCCCTTTCTTTTCTCTTCTATTGTTCACTTTTCTCATTCTCGATCCTTATTAATGTACAAGGGCAAGTGCCCATTTTTGATGTGTATATCGCGAAAAATTCCATGTTTTGGAGTATGCCCACCCTACCCTCCTACAGTGGCTGCTAGACGATTGTATTTCTCTAGTGCAGAGTTCAGTGACTTTCCCCACCTCGCTAATAGGGACAGTATTTGTTGACAAGCTTTGTAATCTGAAATAATGGTCATTGTACAGAGAAAAAGAAGTCAGCCAATCACTTGCCTGTCTTTGGAAGTCCCATCTTTTCAACTTCAAACTGATGTGATATTGCATGATGCTCGAGTTCATCAAGGAGCTGATTGAACTCTCTCTGCTGGCATAGTGTAATTGCCTCAAGCCATTCAGGAGACCCAGGTAGCCAGGGTTGGGAATAAGAGATGGAGGGAGGTAGTGTTGATGATAATGCTGACAAAGCAAAGTGGGCACTCTCAACAGCTTCACTTGCCTCTTGTAAATGCTGGTCAGCATGCTGAGGTGGTAGCATGGTCGATGCAGCAATTTGTGCTATCCAGTAGCATACTGTTTCTCTGAACAAAGCAAGGTGAGTTCATGGACATTGACAAACCAATAAATGTACACACTCGGCATGTTTGAGATGCTCTGTGGCTTCTAAATACATGAGCTTCATCCTCTCATCTTCAGGCTCAATTTGAAGTGAAGAGATGTACTTGTGCTCCTCATCCAGCCATTGTGGGCATTGTGTATCAGGATTGAAGTCAGGTGCCATTTGCTGTGTCACCTCAAGTATTTCCAAATTTTCTTTAATCATTCTCCATGCTGCTGCATGGTTGTTTCACCTATTCAGGAGGGCAAATCGTCCACAAGAAAGTGTTTGGCATACTGGCATACTTAACGAATGACATACCTAGATGCTCATACTTTGTTTCATCCCACTTTGTAATGTGAATGTGAATTCAAAGCTGTCGATGGTGTCAGAGACCAGGTCGAGATGAAGGAATGTCTCCATGGCAGAGGGCTTCGGCCTCAGTGACTTATGCCAGGAGCGCTGTGCCAAGTAACACGTCTGTGCCCTAACTTACTAACTGGCAACCAGAACTGAAGGGGGGTAAACTCTAGTCGATTTTATTACTGAGGTGTAACCTAGGTACAAGTTGAGTATATATAGTTACAATGAGGGCAGGCCCACAAATGGCGGAGCGGAGTGAATGGGGTTAAACATTAGCTGATTGAATATTACTGACAAGTCAGGTTACAGGGTTATCGGAGTGGTAGGCGATAACCCAGAAATGGAAAGGAGGGATAGGCCCAAAGGTGGGCTTGCAGGGCAAGCAAGTGTATTGCCCAGCAGAGGTGGGAGTGCGCTAGCGGACATCGGAGCTGTCTGGAAGCCTTCGGGGCTCTGTACTTAGGGAGATGTAGGTAATAAATTGAAAAGAGGGGGTGGTGACCATTGAGGGATACCGAGGTGACTGTGGAATGTGGGAGCTCCAAGGTTAGTGAAGAAGGAGCAGAGGTAGTCTGGAGAGATCAGAGGTAGTGGAAGTCGATGGCCATGGATAGATATGACAGATGGTAAGGTGATGCATGTCGAGTTAATGATGCCAGGGAGTTGCTCTCAGAGAATACACATTCATTTCCCTCTCCATCTTCGATTCCAGCTCCCCTCTGTAAACTGATGAGGAAATCGAGCTGGCAAAGTCTGTTGTGAGCAGCACCGTGAAATGAGCTGAGTAACATCTGAAAAGTGTAATATCTCCCATGGGCTCCATGGATATCCATGGGTTTTCATGGGTTTCCATGGGCTTTCATGGGCTTTCATGGATTTTCATGGGGGCTGTCAGGGTTCAGCACCCTGCCTTAGGGTGCCCCGGACTCCCCACCTACTTTACCCCCTTTTATTCTTTGACTGTTGCCTTGTTGCCTTTGTGTGTTGTGTACACACGCGCGCACGGGATAGCGTGGGAACTTTCTGAGCAAGCAGCTTGCCCAGAATGTTCCCACGGGTCACAGCCACAGTTCTGGGCGAGCAACTTGCCCAGAACGTTCCCACGCTTACTGGGCACTGCCACCTGGATGTTCCCTCCGGGTCACACTACACAACTCTAGGAGCTGTATAGTTGTGGGCATGTGACCCATTCCTTTATATAGCAACCATGCGGGGAGATGAGACCTTTACCCTTCTTCTCATCTCATGCCCCGCATAGTGTGAGGACAGGTTAGATGGGGGCTGAGGTCAGGGAGCCTCCAAGTCCAAGGCTGGGCCCTGACAGGGGCCATGAACACCCATGGACACCCATGGAAGCCCATGAAAGCCCATGTACAACATTATCTTCCAATTTCCATGAAATTCCATGGATACCCATGAATACCCATGGGAGCATTAGAAGGGTCTGTGAATGTCCATGAATGTTCATGGATGTTTATGGAGGTCCACAAAAGTCCATGACAGTGCATGAACAACAACATACTTGTCAGGACTCAGCCCTCATTCAGGGGCAGCCTGACCTTGGAGTTGGGTGTGTGCAGTGTTCTGGGCAGTGGGGCACTAGATCCTGCCTGTAGTTCCTCAAACTCACTGAGGGGGCTAAGTGGGGAGTGAGTTGAGAAGAAGGGTGAGTTTCCCTATCCCTGCTAAGCTACTATAAAAGGAAGTGGACTGTGCCAGTTTATAGTGTGACTGCAGGCAGAAGCCAGGTGCATTCCCACAGCTTGGAAAGGGTGTCACATGGGTCTGTATGTGGGCTCCTGGTTGTAAATACACATAGAAAAATAGGGAAAATGGGGAGAGACTGGGGGGGTTTCAGGGTTGTATGTTGAGGAGAGGTGCCCTGACAATACTATAGCAAGTGAAAATATCAGTTGAAATTGCAGGACTTCATAAAATATAGAGACCCATGGGGTGTTAGAACTGGGCAAGGGCAGATGATTCCAGAGGGGAACCAGAGACTTAGCAAGGAGGGACCTTGGCCTCAGCGACTCAAGTGGAGCGCTGTGCCTTTGCTGTTTGTCCATTTGGTCCTTAATTTCATAGGAGGCGACCAGGAAGTCTCTAGGGGGCATTTCAGGTCGATTTTAGACTAAGGCCTAAAATGAGTATGTGCAAGCACCGATATATATAATGGAGAGGGCGAAAGCACAGGGAAACAAAGGGGGTCCAAATCGGAACAAAGGCGTCCAAACAGGGACAAAGGGATGACAGAAGCGGAGCAGTACCGAAGGTCATAGGGCAGAACCTGTGGTACATCCGAAAGGAGGTAAGGAGGGCGAAGCCCAGAGGGGCAGGAGGATGAGGGGAAGTGGGGATGATGACTAACTGGCTAGAATGGGAAGAAGCAGCAGTCCAAATAGGGATGAGGGGAAAATGTGAAAGATACATTACAAGCGGTGAAAGTGCCAAAGGTGATCCATGGAGCTCAGGGGTTACAGAGCTTACGGAGGTTATGGAGGTGGGGTTGAAAGTCCGAGGAATATTGGCAATGGTGTTTACGTAGTATGAGGTCACCAATGCAATGGACTAAAGCCGAGGTGGAGTCAAAGTCCAAGGTAGGAACTATGATGGAGTCTCGGAGCGAAGGTATGAGCGGTGTCCGAGTACGAGGTACAGGACAGCGGTGGAAGGTCATAACTTGGCGGAAGGTTGGCAGAAGAGGGCCAGAGGGAAGAGAGGGGAAAGAGGAAAGAGGAAAGGTGTGGAGGAGAGGAAAGGTGTGGAGGAGAGGAAAGGTGTGGAGGAGAGGAAAGGTGTGGAGGAGAGGAAAGGTGTGGAGGAGAGGAAAGGTGTGGAGGAGAGGAAAGGTGTGGAGGAGAGGAAAGGTGTGGAGGAGAGGAAAGGTGTCAGGTCTGAAGGTGAGTGTCGGAGCGGATGGGAGAAGGGTAGGAGAATGATGGAAGGGTGGAGGTGTTGTGAGGAGGAAGAGGAGGAGTGGGAGGAAGAGTAGGAGGAGGGTGGCGAGAGGAGTGGTGTTCAGTCTGAGGTGAGTATCGGAGCAGATGGAGATAGGACAGGAGAAGGATGGAGGAGTGGAGGTGGCATGAGAGGTGAGAGGAGGTGTGGTGTCAGGACTGAAGGTGAATATCGGATTGGACAGCGGTAGGGTAGGACTCCGGAGGTGGTGAAGGTGGAGGTCCGGGAATCAGTTCAGGATCGAGTATGTACGGATATGACATGGGGACCCAACCAAAAGCCCCATACATATGTCTTCACAGGTGTCATATCCATTCTCTGCCACCACCTTCTGTCACCTCCAGCCATCCCTTATCACCTCTGCTCCACTCATACCAACCTCAGAGCCCCCAAATCCCATCTTCCCCTCAGAACCCCCCAATTGTTATGGAAATGGGAATTTCCCATTTCTAGCCTCTTATGGGCCCTGTGTACTATAATATCACGTGACATATAAATAATAACAACCGAACCAACAATTATCACCAAAAACACCCAATGTTGATGTCCCTGTAAACCTCTTGTTACAACCTCTGCCATATTATCTGTAACACCATTTCGATGTCATGACCCCTCCCTGCACCTGGACACTATAGAAATGGGCCAATTAGGCCCCATTTTTATAACACCAATGGTCACCACCCCCCCATTTCCATATATTACTTGCACCTCCCTAAGTACGGAACCTGAAACAGCTCCAATGTCTACAAGTCTGCCTTTGGACTGCCCTCTCCATTCTCCTTTTGGGTTGTTGTCTGTTAAACCTGTAACTCAAGTTGCCAGTAATATTCAGTTGACTAACCCTTGACCCTGTTATGTCAGCTCTGCCTGGTTCCTGCCATTTATGGGCCCTCCACCTAGACTTCCCATGTATCTGCAAATTAGGGCCCCAACATGCTACTGGGCACAGCACTCCTGGCTTGAGTTGCTGAGGCCAAAGCCCTCTGAACACTGAGTCATACCTCCCTTTCAAATCCAGTCTTTGACAACAGGAGTTTGTATAAATGTTAGTACTGTGGGGCTGAATTGGTCCATTTCCATAGGTTTTGGGTGCAGCATAGGTGTTAGAGACCAGATGCAAGACAAAGGAGATGTCTCCATGGCAGAGGGCTTCAGCCTCAGCAACTCAGACCAGGAGCGCTGTGCCTAGTTACACATCCATGCCCTAATTTACTTACTGGCAGTGAGAAATTAACTCAAGTTGATTTTATCACTAGGGTGTAACCTATCTACAAGTTAAGTATATATAGTTACAGCAAGGGTGGGCCTGTGAATGGTGGGACCGAGTGGAGCGGAGCTAACGGAGTTAAACAGTGGCCGACTGAATATTACTGACAAGTTGAGTTACGGGGCCAGCGGAAAGGCAGGCTATAACCCAGAAACGGAAAGGAGGGATAGGCCTGAAGGTAGACTTGCAGGACAAGCAAGTGAATTGCCCAGCAGGGGTGGGAGTGTGCTAGTGGACATCAGAGCTGTCTGGAGGCCTTTGGGGCTCCATACTTAGGGAGGCATAGGTAATATATTGAAAAGAGGGGGTGGTGACTATCGAGGGAGGTGGAGGTGATTGCGGAATACAGGAGCTCCGAGGTTAGTGAAGAAGGAGCGGAGGTGGTCCGGAAGGGTCGGAGGTAGTGGAAGACGATGGCTGTGGATGGATATGACACCACCTTGAAATGCAGTCAGTAGCACTTGTGGATGGGTGAAGGATAAACATTGTAAACAGCTTGCCTTGTGCATGTTGGAAACTAGCCATATGAAATGCTGAACACTGAATGCAAGAGCTCAAGTGATTGCAGGGATATGGCAATCTGGGGGTCCCTTGGTGTGGGGGGTAAATATCCAGCATGCTCCAGCAAATATGTAGGGTGGACATCCCCATCGTGCCTAGGCACATATTCAAACATGAAACCATCTGCATAGTATCCCATCAGTAAAATTAATCAACAGAGCGAGGTGAAAGGACAGCTCACCAAATACATCAATGCACTTAATATGGACATAGGCACCTTCTTCCGGGGGTAAAAGATGATGGGAGGGCATAGAATGAAGGTTGGCTGTTTTGAACTGAACATACAGGGTGGCAAGGTCGCTAAGCTGCTCTCCCCAAGCTCCATGTAGCCTGTCCATTTGGTTGCTCCAAACATGGCTTTTCTTGTGCCTGAATAAACATGACATTGGTCTGTGTCAGGGCACACCCGCCTGACCCCACTCCACCCGGTCCTACCCCACCCGATCCCACTACCCTCACCTGGTGCCCCATCCTCCCTCCTCCCTTTTCTCCTTCTTCCTTTCCCTTCTTCTTCCTTCTTCTTTCCTTTCTTTCCTTTTCTACTACACAGGCGACTTCCTTGCTTGATGTACCATTAACTAGGCCACGCAACATGCCCGGACCCAGACACACTGGGTGATGCCCTACACACCGGACGCTCCTGAGATCCCTTACAGAGATACCTGGGTGGACATGGCTGTGCATGCAGATGACGTGGTGCTCCCCACATGACCTCCAACCACATGTACATAAACACAGCCTAAGTGGGAACTGAGAAGTAACCTTCTTCTCACACTTCCCACTTTAGGCAAGTAGCTTACATTCCCCTGCTAATAATAATAACACACTTCCCACTTTAGCCTAAGTGGCCAGGGATGCCCTTCTGTGCCGGGTCCATTAGTACATGCACCTGTGATACACCCTATTGGGTCCTCAGTGCCGGGTGACACATCCAGGCACTCTCCACCCATCTCGGTCCCTGACAGTCTGGTGGGAACGGGAAATATGTACAGCTTAGGGAGTAAGGAAGTTATCACTGCCAGGAGCTGTTCCATGGTGATCCCTTCATCTTGAAACAGCCCAGCATAGGCCATAACAGGGTCATCCACCCAGTCATCCTGATTTCCAACACCAGAGGTGAAGCCATTGTGTTGGAGTTCCTCAAGGTCAGCTCTAACTTCAACTGGTGCATCCAGTCATTGATCAGGCTTGTGGTTGGCTCAGTGTGCTACTAACATTCCATGTACCTTCAAGAATCCTTTTCTGAGTCTTGTCCATCTCAAGTTGTGCCCTCTTCTGGGCAACTAGTCCATTTCTTTCCAATTTTCCTGAGCCTACCAAGTTAGTCACAACAGTGTTTCGCATTCTTTTTGATCATGCCATCAGAATCACACACACGCCAGCTATACTTAAAAAAACATAGTCATTAATCCCATGCTGGACTGGGGAGGGAAAACTCACAGGGCATCAATAACTGGATGTTGATCAATTCAAAGTGCCCATACACTGTGTCACGGAAAATCAACTACAACGTGTCACGAGAAGTCAACTACAATGCATCACTAAAATTCAGCAATACAATCTCTCAACACACCAGTATATCACTTTCCACCAGCACTGCAGCATCATGTCCCAGCCAAAAGCTGAAGGTAAATAACTGAGTAGATATAGATAGATGACAAGGCTCACCACAACTCTAGATGCTACCCTGCGAAACATGTGTCCTACAGCCCAACGCATGTTTGACAGTTTCATTTGGGCCACCCAAGCGAGATACCAGCTCAATACTGAAGAGATGAGCTGGTTTCATCGGGTAGTAAGTGATAGGTTTGTCGAGGACTTCAGCATTCCTTACCGAGTCCGCAGTGAGTACAGTAGTAAACGTAAAAGTCTGGAAAACTGACCTCCCATAGACTGGAAGCCAAATTGGGATCGCACTATGGATCTACAAACAATCGAGAGACACATACCAACTCATGTGTTTACTGCGGAGATGAGCTATATGGTATGGCAGCGAGTTGCTGCCCGGCTGATGAGTTTGAAGGAGAAGCTCAGTGAGGTCAACACATTTGTGAGTAGTTATCCAATATGACCTAAACAGGAGCTTACACTGTGGACCACTTGGGGCAGCCAAGCATCATGTTGGTCAATTACGATGGTCAAACATTGCCCATCTTGATACTTGCATCAACAAGTGTTGAAGGCAATGAACAGTGGGAAGTGCTGTGTAGCGAGATATATCCAAAGGAAATGGAGGTGCAGAGATGCTGATGTCCACCACAGTGGCATCCAGCAGCACTCCAAGCAGAGAACACAGACGGCCACAACCACGCAAAATGGAATCGCCAATTAGGCAGAACGCTTCGATGACCTCATCCCCATCCCCACGGAAGATGCCTGACCCTTTGGCCATGCCTTCAGCTCAAGATAAGGGACTTCATGCTGGTGAACTTGCCACATTGGCTTGCAAACTCCAGAGTGTCAGCTTTGACATTACTCCAGCAGGCACACTCACAAGCCCTGCTAAATGTGTTTCATGGCTCATCCCCACCAGTCTCCCCACCGATTCTTCTAGCCTATGTCATATCCATCCCTGGCCATCGACTTCTGCTCCCTCCAATCCCTCCAGTCTACCTCTGCTCCTTCTTCACTAACCTCGGAGCTCCTGTATTCTGCAATCACCTCGGTACCCCTCGATGGTCACCACCCCCTCTTTTCAATTTATTACCTATGCCTCCCTAAGTACGGAGCCCCAAAGGCTTCCAGACAGCTCTGATGTCCGCTAGCGCACTCCCGCCTCTGCTGGGCAATACACTCGCTTGCCCTGCAAGCCCACCTTTGGGCCTATCCCTCCTTTCCATTTCTGGGTTATCGCCTACCATTCCATTAACCCCGTAACCTGACTTGTCAGTAATATTCAATCGGCTAATGTTTAAACCCCATTAGCTCCGCTCCACCATTTGCGGGCCTGCCCTCGATGTAACTATATATACTCAACTTGTACATAGGTTACACCTCAGTAATAAAATCGACTAGAGTTTACCCCCCTTCAGTTCTGGTTGCCAGTTTAGTAAGTTAGGGCACGGACGTGTTACTTGGCACAGCGCTCCTGGCATAAGTTGCTGAGGCCGAAGCCCTCTGCCACAGAGACACTCCTTCGTCTCGACCCAGTCTCTGACAGTATTTTATTACTCTCTGACTAGTACACATCTTGTATGGCACCAAAAGCCCCTCGCACTCATTTGCAACTACACACATTAGTTCCCAACTCTGCCTCACTGTCCCCAGAACCCTCACAGCCTGGTCCTAGCCAATTGGTGAGAAACCCAGTTGAGTTTTGTAGCTTTTCTAATCTAGAAAGCCCTCTCCCATCGACTCCGATCATGCATCCCGTTAGGAATCGATCACCAGTTGCAGATTCCGACTTCAGAGACACCATGGAACAACCCATAGACCCCACTTCTTTGGACTCGGTTCCAAGGTCCCCGACTTTGTCGACCCTCCTCCTGCTGATCCTCCCATCCCCACTGTACCAACCACCAATGATGCCGAACCCATCCCCAACATAGCTATTGCACAACTAGCCCAAGCCATTGCCAGCTTGGCTTGTCACACTGGATGTCCACCACCTCCACCATCCTCCGCTCTCCGGACCAAGGTCCGTGAGCCCAAACAGTTCGACGGGAAAGATCCCCGAGAACTCCGAGTATTTCTGGTCCAATGTGAACTCAATTTCCAGGACCGTCCCCTTGCTTTTGCTAGCGACCACACTAAGGTCATCTTTGTGCAGTCCTACCTCAAGGGAATGGCCCTCAATTGGTTCGAGCCGGACTATTATTTGATCAAAATTCTACGCTTCATCCACGATGGATGAATAACTATCAAGAGTTTGTCAACAAACTTCAAACCAACTTCGGTCCTCACGATCCTGTGGGCAACGCCGAAGTTCCACTAATGACCCTGGACATGAAGGACAGGCACCACATCAATAAGTACATCATCGAGTTCAACTGACATGCCTCTCAACTTCATGGTTACGGAGAAGCCACGCTTCGTTGTTTTTTCTATAACGGATTGCCGGAACGTATCAAGGATGATATTGCCAGAGTAGGTAAACCTTCTACTCTTTCAGAACTTCACACCTTGTCGCAAACTTTCAATACATGCTATTGGGAGCGTAAATCTGAAGTTACACATCATGCGAAACCCTCCTCTAACGTTTTTGACAAGTCCACCACCGCTTCTCGTTCCGACCCTGTCCCTTCCTCCTCTTCTTTCAACTCTGCTTCCGGTAGCAAGCCTCCGAAGGACAATAAGAAGTCCGAGGCCAGCTCCACTAAACCGGACCTTTTGTCTAAACTCGGAGACAATGGCAAGCTCACACCACAAGAGGGTAAGCGTTGTCTCGACGAGAAACTTTGTATGTTCTGCAGTCAGTCTGGCCACATGGTCAAGGACTGCCCCAAGTCTTCTTCTCACGTGTCTAAGGCCTGTTCAGCCCAGACCAAGGAGCAAGGATCCGCTTCCGCAGAAGCAAAAAATTAGTCCGCACCCCCATGGACTCCGCACGGACCAGGGGTTGCAATTCTTCCCTCTGTGCGCTCAAAGAAGTGCATTTAAATGCGTCTTCCATCTCCGACCTATCCTCCCTCCATATTCCCGTTTCTTTTTCTCTTTCAAGTGGTCTATTTTCTCCTCTCAATGTTGACCCTTTGGTTAATGTTCTACCCATTGTAGATAGTGTTGCTGATGTACCACTCTCTCCTCTGCCCCCTCTGACTACTTCTATAGATCGATCCACCTCTCTCCGTTTCTCTTCTTTCTCTTCTCCTGTCCCTTCTCCTCTGTCCAATGATAGGACACACAATAAACTTTTCCGCTCCCATGAGAACATACCCGCACCCATAGACTCTGGGTCTTCGGACTGCTTCATTGACAACACATTCGTAAAGAAGTTGGCCTTGAAGACATATCAGATTAAACCCCTACAACTACACCTATTTGATGGTAGTACCAACTCAATCATAACCCGTGCCGTTGATATTCCCCTCCACTTTGCTTCCAGAAACATCACCCCCACGACTTTCTTTGTCACATCGCTGGATGGATCATGTTCCCTAGTCCTAGGACACAACTGGCTTACCCACTACAATCTGTTGATTGACTGGGTCTCAAGCAGTATTACGTTCTGAACTTCTGAACCTACCAAGACAGTTACTCCGAGCTCTCCCCCATCGTCTCCAGCACCACTGCCATCGTCTGACATCCAACCATCTGATGTTCTGCCAGCACCTCAGTCTCAGGCTCCCACTCCTCCATTACCATCTATCGAGTTCGTCAGCCGTTCCGCATTCGCGAAGGCTTGTTGACTTGAAGGATCGGTATCCTTCAGCCTAACCATCCCTTCCGAGGACAGCCACTTGAGGGCTGCCTCATCCCACACCGATTCCGTTGACCTCTCAGCCATTCCGAAGGAGTATCACGAGTTCGCAGATGTGTTCAGTAAGAGCAAAGCCTCGACGCTGTAGGCAGGATAATCGCCCACGCACAGACTCGGCTCGGATACCCACTTCCACGATCAGAAAACAACTTTCATTCACGCGACGACTCAGTACAAACTTGGTATCCAAAAATAGTCCTAATTCGTACGATTCTGACGATACCAAGAACGTCCCAATTGGTGGAGATTTGACGGAGTTCCATGTTGGAGAAGTCAGGCACAGCAGGTCACGGGCATGTGCGGGCGTGGGAATCTCAGGCAGCAACCCAGAATTCCAGCCTCACTCGTTCCCACGGCATCTAATAAATTGGTAAAAATGCTCATTGGCTGCGTGAGAGTTATCTCCGGCTTCATTTCCAATTTTGGCCTTTAATTCCGTAAATCCATTGAGATATCGCTTATTTTCTTATATTTTCATATTTTTCCATCATTTCAGTTATTGATTGATATTCTTTTATTGATACTGTTACCCTTTTTTTATTATTTCGCCTAATAAGGTATGCAGGTGCCATATGGTACCAATATTTCCCATCAATTATTCTAAAAATAATTATTTCTTATAATCCTGTACATACCGGATTTTTAAAAAGAAGTTCTCCCCTCCCCCAAATTCTCTAAGGTGCTAGGACGCGCTAGAGAGGGTGTGAGTGTGTGGAATTCCAACAGTAGGAATAAGGGCAGCTGTCTAGCTCACAACAAGTGAGTAGTGGACGCTGAGCCCGGACCTTGCGGAAATCCTGGAGAACCCACACGGAGTTAAGGATCGAGAACGTAGCGAGTTTAGTGGAGAAAGTAGAGTTTAGGGAGAGTTGTCCCCCACGAGCTTGGTCGGCATAGAGAGCCGCGAGCCCTCTTTCAACGCTGGCACCGCATCGTGAGCACAACCTGAAGATCGACCTTGAGGAAGGCACTTCACCACCCTTGGGTACTATGTACTCTCTCTCTACTTCAGAACTCGAGGCTCTCTGGGTGTTCTTAGACGAACACCTAGCCTCCGGGTTCATTCATCCCACTACTTCCGCTCACGTGGCACTGGTCCTCTTCGTCCACAAGAAGGATGGATCCCTCCATCTTTGCATTGACTTCCGAGGGCTGAACAAGATCACCAAAAAGGATCGCTACCCACTCCCCCACATCTCAGTAACTTGCAAAAAGTGTAATGGTGGTTCGTGAACCATCATGGAAGTCATGACATTTCATGAATGGTCACCAAACTTCATGAAGCAGCATGAAGTGTCATACACAATCATGCTGGTTCATGACAAACCATCATGGAATTTCATGAGATGTCATGAACCTGCATGGAGGGTCATGATTGCTCATGACTTAAGTGGTTCCAGGCAGGTTTTGAGTGGTTACATGCCTGTCTATGAAGTGTCATGAAGTGTCATGAGCCTTCATAAAGGATCATGGACCCTCATGGACCTTCATGAATCACCATGAGTCTTCCCAAGAATCATTGTGATTGATCATAAATTAGGATTGTTGGTACAACAATGACAGTTGGGGCATAATGGTTAATTACATGTTACCCTTAGGTTGAAAGTGATATGAAAGCATCACACAAGAGGGGGTTGCTCTAGTTGATTTCAGACTAAGGTCCCTGAAAGCATTTACAAGGTATAAATAAGGGAGAGAAATCATGGGAAGGGCCAGTCGGTCCAGTGCATAAATGAGTGGGGATTATCAAAGACAAGAACCCAGGTGAAGAATGAATAAGTAAAATATTGACACTTGATCTGCTACTGTATTGGCACCCAGGTTGTCAGTTGCCTCCCTACTTTGCCTCTTTGTTTAATTGTTCATTCCACTCTCATTCATTCTCTCACTCTCTGTCTCCCTGGTTCTCATCCCTCATTTAGTTTGTCATGTTCACTGCTCTGCCTCCCATTCAGGTGCCAGACTGACCAGCCCCTCTTCTGTTCTCCCTTTCGTATTTATGCATTGTAGATAGTATACTACTTATGTACCCCAGTTTGAATGTCAACTAGAATACCCCCAAGTCCTCTTGTCCATAGTTGTCAGGGACAGCTCCAAAAGTGGCAAAGTCCCAGCATGGGGGACTTGATGGGACGAGTAGTGGCTATGCATAGCAGTGGTCCTGTCATGGGGTGAGCATCCCTGACCACTCAGTCTGAAGTGGGAAAGTGAGAA